CACACACACACACACACACACACACACACACACACACACACACACACCCCTGAACTTATATTAGAGCTGGAGAGCCAAGAGCAAAAAGGGAGCCCCAAGCCCAGGTTACCTTCCATCAGCACCAGGATCACATCTCTCAGGATGGTCAAGGTTGTCCCCAGGACGAGGATGGAGAAGAGGAAGGTGCAGATGGGGTCTATAAACTTGTACTCTGGCTACAGGAAAAGGGCAAGGCAGAGCTGGGGCTCACCACCCAACACCTTAGCCTCCCTTCTCTGCTCCCACCCAGCATTAAGTCACGGAGAGGGGCTCTCTCTGCAGGGTGGGCATGAACCTCACCCTGACCCTGCCTCCCAGTTCTCTACCTTTTATTCTGTGTCCAAAAGGACAGGCAGGACAGACCACAGTTTAGGATAAGGCACTGCACCTTCCCACCCCTCCTTGCCCAAGGGGCTGAGACACGGATGGAGCTAAATGGAATCTTAGGCACCATCTGGTCCAACATCCCCATTTTATAGATGGGGAAACAGAGGCTCAATTAGAGCAAGGGACCCACTACACATCATGCGGCTGGCAAGGGGTGAACCAGGCTTCAAACCCAACCCTTGGCTCTTTCCACTACACCACACTGCCTCTATATGATGGGCAATGCCCAGGCAGCACACAGTCCTGGGTTTTAATCTGGCTTCACAACTTACCAGCTGGGTGACGCTGTGCAAGTCCCTGAGCCTTTCTGAGCTGCAGAAAACACCACCACCTCCCCTTCAGGGTTGTTATCAAGATCAGAAGTGCTAACACTTACTGGGTGTTGGATAAATGTTCCTTCCCTCTCCTACCCTTTTGCCCAGAGCTGGGAGGGAGCTAGAATCTGGAAATGATTCTAGCTCCAGATGATGTAGCCTCCCTTCCCCACCCGGCCCACTTCCCTGTGTCCCCAGCTCTAACCTTGAAGTATAAAATAAAGGCTGCCACTAAAACGCCCAAGCTCTGCAGAAAGTCTCCAACCACATGGATAAAGGCAGCTCGGACACTGGGGTTCTCCTGCTGCTGGCTGGTGTCGTGGCTGTGCTCAAGGCCATGGCTGTGTCCGTGGCCAGACTGGTGAAGAATCAATCCCATTCTACAGAAGTGGAGACAAGGCCAAGGGGCTCATTGAGGTAGCAGATAGAGGCTTCAAATCAGCCAGGTAGAGGCCCCCATCAGGACTGGCCTCCCCAGACTGCATGATCCCTTTGGCCACGTGAGGAGCCCAACCCACGTGGCCTTGGTTCAGAGTACCAACAGGAGAAGGGGCTCACTCCATCCAATGCCAGGCTGAATCTGGGCACAAAGATGCCCCAGTGCCAAGTCTCAGAGCAGGAAAGCCCCATAGAGGGGCCTTCACCATGTCACAGATGGTGAAGCTGAGGCCCAGAGAAGGAAGTGGCTTGCCCAAGGCCACTGAGCAAAGGTGAGAGAACCCAAAAGAGACCTCGGTGCTCTACACACCCTGCCTCTCACTGAGACCAATTTCAGGCACATCACCTTGAAAAAGGACTTGGATTCTGCCCCTAGGGACACCTGCTCCTGCAAGAACTAAACTCACCCCTCCCCATGACAGGTAAGAAGCCTCTCTGGTTATTCACTGACTTGTATGGGGGGGGAACTTGATGCTGCCCCAGGTTTACAGCTCCCGATGGCCTTGCCCTAGGCCTCAGGCAGGACCCAGGTGTTCCAGGTGCCAGAGCTCAGACCACTAGGGAAATTCTGATCCTGCGACCTATCCTGGAGTGCAGCACCTCCTCCTTCTAGCGAGGGCAGGCCTGTAGGTATGCATGTGAGAAGTGGGAGGGGGAAAGACTCACAGGGAACCCAGGCCACACTCACATGATGTTCACGACCACAGCACAGCCCGACGTGATCAGCATGGTCTCCTTCTCGAGCTCATAGTCCCCAGAGATCAGCCGTTCCACCGCCAGGTACACCAGTACCCCGGTCACGACCCAGATGGACAGCACAGAGATCAGGGCGCCCAGGATCTCTGAGGAAGAACCCGGCCCCCAATACCAATCTTAGCATGGGGCCCTAAGGCTAAGGAGCCCCCTCCTCGTCCCCACAAAGTCTGGGCCTGGGTCCGACTGGGCTCTGCTGGAGCTATGGCTGGTGTGGTTGCACCTTACCCCACCACTCATACATCTGGGAACATCTGAGCTAGAAGAAACTCAAGAAATCATCTGGGTCAACCCTTACTGTTGAAGCTGACTCATTAAAATATATACCCATTGCTCAGCTGGCAAACTAAGGCTTCTGAGGAACAGAGGCTGGGCCATCTGCCACCAAGAGGAAAATGACAATGCAGCGCAGAGATGAACTTCAAAAGGCTTTGCTGAACTTCCCCTCCCCCTAGAGCTGATCCATGGAGTTATGTGCAGAGTTAATGCACAGTCATTTATTCTTGAAGTCTGGCCACTTCATTTCTTAGGAAGGTGGACTCTCCTCCCCTGCAGGGTGGGAATTCCCAGAGGAACAGGGGACCAGGGCTAGCCCATCAGACTGGGAGCTCCCAAAGGACAGAAGCCAAGGTTAACATCCTCTTCCCCCACCCAAATCACCCTCCTGGCCTTACTCAGGGACCCAGTGCACCCACCTGAGAACCTGATCTTGACCTACCCCCTCTCCCAACTCCAACCCCATCCCAACCAGGGCCCTTACCAGCTCGATGCCAGCCGAAGTTCATGGTCTTGGTGGCTGGCCGGGAAGACATCCACAGGGAGAAGAGGCTGATGAGCATGCTGGCGAAGTCAGTGAGCAGGTGGGCTGCGTCTGTCATGATCGCCAAACTATGTGCCAGGTACCCACCTGCAGGGGCAGGGCCAAGAGGGTGGAGGGTTCTTATCAGTTCCCCAAGGAGCCAACTTCCCACAGTGTGTGTGCAGCAGGAAAACCATGAGCTCTGGAGAAAGACAATGGATTCCAGACCTCTGCACCATTAGCTGTGTCACCACGGGCAAGTGACTTACTTTCTCTGAGCCTCAACTTCTACCATCTGTGAAATGGGATTAGCAAAATCTACGTAGAGGGTGAACGTGAAAATTGAGTTCAAATTGGGCCTGTAGGGGAATTCCCTGGCGGTGCAGTAGTTAGGACTCCCCGCTTTCACTGCGTCCTCGGAATGGATTCAATCCCTGGTCGGGGAACTAAGATCCCACAAGCCGCATGGCATGGCCAAAAACAAAAAACAAAAAACAAAAATGGGCCTGGAAAGCATAGCAGGCACTCAGTAAATGCTCCTTCCTTCTAGGCACTCAGGTCTTCCCTGACCTACTAGTTGTGTGTGATCTTGGGCAAGCTCCTAAACCTTATGGTGCCTCAGTTTCATCATCTGTAAAATAAGGAGACTAACAGCACCCATATGCCAGTGCAAGGTTGTTGTGAGGATTACATGAGACAGTGTGCATATAAAATATGGAGCTCTTAGTATTAATACTACAGGAACATCCAGGAGAAAAGCCTTTTGGATCATCCAAACTACCCATGTGCCAATTTCATTTAATTAGCAAAAAAGTCCTTACCAACGACTTCCCCAATCATGAACAACAGGCAGAAGGCACAGGCCACACAGAGCTGGCGCCACGCCCTCTTCTTCTTGAGGTCGCAGTCACTGCCAGGACCCGTCTGGGCATGACAGTAATGGTTGCTCTTGGTAGCCAGCTCAACGGTCTGCAAGTCCAGGCCAGGTGAAGACAGAGGAATCCTGCCAGCCCCATCCTGCCACAGAGATCTGTAAGACCTGTCCAAGGAGGAAGGGTGAGGGGAGGCTCAGCTCTGAGATGGGAGCAAAGAAGGCTGACTCCAGTCTTACCTCTCTGCGGGGCCTGGTTGTTCCCATGTGCCCATTTGGAAGAAGAGCTTAAGGATACTCCAAGCTCGACAGATTCTGCGGAGTGACCAGAAGCCCCTCTTTGCAGGGGGTGCTGGGGAACAACCAGTTCAGGAGTCTTGGCTCGGCGTGTTCCCTCCTCCCCCATCCCTCCCAGGGCCTGGAGGAGGCAAAGACCTTGGGAACTGGCCAAAGGGCTGGGCCGGTCCAGCCGAGCGCGGAGAAGGAGGAGAGTTTACACTCAGGGAGAAGAGCAGATCTCCCCTTCTCACGGTCTGGGGACACCGGGCCTCCCAGGGCGGGGCTGCCCCCGGGCAAAGTGCTGGCCCCGGGGCAAGGCTCCAGGCACGCACTCCCCACTAACCCGTCAGGATCTGTGCTCAGCCACAAGAGGGGAGGGATGATCCCCGTGCCCAGGCTCCATTTCCCCTTTCCTTCCTTCACCTCATCCCACCCCTCCCGTGTGGTCCCAGTTCAAGCCGCCGTCCAAACCAACCACTGGCAGGATAGCAAATGAGGAGGTGGGTCTGATGCCACTCAAATTCCCGCCCCTCCCCAGGCTCTCGCCTTACCCGGCTCCAAGCCTGGCGTCTAACAGATGCTTCCTCTCGGTGGCCTCCATGCGGTCTCGCGCGCCCTGCCGTGTACTCCCTGGAAGTTGCGCGCGGGACGCTCCGCGGCGCGCACTCACCTGCCGGGAGGGCACTGCGCGCCTTTCCCGCCGCCCCGGCGCGTGAGCCCCTCGCCCGCCCGCTCTGCCGCGAGTTCGCTCCCGCCTGGCCGTGCCGAGACTGCCGAGGGGTCGTCCCGCTGTTGCTACCGCTGCTGCCCCCACTACGTCAGCCGTGGCGCCCCGCTCCCGCTGGCTTTACCCGGTCCCCGCTACCCCGTGTGAAGCGCGCGCGTCGTGTGCAAAAGCCCGCAGGGAAGGGGGAGGGGGCAGCTGGCGGCAAAGGGCCCCGGCATTGACCCCTAGAACCCCGTCCCCTGCGCCCCCGGGGCCCAAGGAGCCCACCTGGCCTGCGACACAAAGCCTAACCGCTCCCCTCCGCCCCCGCTCTGCTGCTTGGTGTTTCCGAGTTGGGACTAGTCCGCGCCGCCTTCCCCGGCTCGGCGCGGGGTGTGTCCCACCGAGAAGTTCTCGGGCCCCGCCTTGTAGAAATCCGCTGTGGGTCCCCTGAGAGCAGAAGTGTGGCTCCTAAACTCAGAATAAGGGCTCCGAGGCTGGGGTTGTGGCTTTGCCCTCAGGAAACCACTGATCGGTTTCCACTCTCAGGCTGCAGACGCCGAGACCCCCATGTTCTTCCACTCAGGCCAGGGGGCTCCTGCGGGCGGGGTATGCCTGCCCTCAGGCTGGGGCGGCAGCCCTCCTTAAGACTGGTTGGCACTGACTAATGCATCCTCGCCACTGAAGCAGCGCCGGTTCCTCCCGTCTTGCGCGCTCGGATTAGATCTGGGGTGGCCGTCTTTATCTCCACCGCTGCACAGAGCAGGGTCGCGCTTCAGCAGCAGTCGCCATCTAGACAGAGCTGACACCACTACCCACACCATCCTTTCTCCACTGCCCCGCAGCAGTTCCCAGGAGCCCCAGGACGGTGCCATGCGTAGTGTTCCGCCGGTGGAAGCCGGCCGGCCCTTCCTGACGGCTTGATGCCCCCATCCAGTTGAAGCTTCGCCGTCCCCCGGCGGTTGGGTGGGAGGAGGGGCAGGGGCCTCTGATAGGCCCTCTACCTAAAAAGAGCTTTGGGCTGGGGACCTCCCTGGCCAGTCACCCCATCATCAAGGGCCCTGGGGACCTTAGCTTGGCTATGGCCCTTCACAGAGACAAGAGACTAGGGTGTGAGCCCCTATCCCACACCCCTGGGGACAAGGAGGGGCTCCTTCAGTGTCTCCCCGACAGGAGTCATCTTGTTAGGAAACTAAGTGCAAGGAGCGAGGATGGCAGCGGCATGCCTGCCTAGATTGGGTCCCCACTGAGTACCTTTCCACCTGCTCTGGACTGAGTGTGGACAACTTTTACCGCAGGCTTCCTGGTTTTCCTGTATACTCTTAGAACCAGCAAGCTCAGTGTTACCTGGAGCAGGTGTTAGAATGCAGGTTCCAGGTCCCCGCATCAGACCAACTGAATCAGAATCTCTGGATGTAGACCCTAGGAATCGACATATTTACAAATTCTCAGGGGATTTTCCGCACAGTAAAGTCTGAGGACCTCTACATAAGCTTTTATCATCTCAGACATATACTCACCTGATCTCCCCACTAGATTTTAAGCTCTTTGAGAGCTGGGATGTATTTTATACTTCTATTACAATTTAGTTTAGCTCTGAGCACCTACTGAGCACTTAGTTAAAAGCCTGTGAATTGGATTGAAATAAAGAAGTACATAAATATAGAGCTGGTCACTTAGGTGAGAGTAAGTGAGGCAGGTGCAGCTCGCAGGGGTTTCTTGCTGGGCCATCTCAGTCGTGTTGTAGTTTCCAGCTGCCCTGTGCTCAGATTAATCTTATAATTTATTTGAGGGCAAAACATTTATGCTTTAAAAAAGTGTGTCATCTATGTCCCTCTCGTTCCCTTTAATGCAAAGCACATTGTAAATTCTCAATATGTGGCGATTTACAAATTGGATCCAGACACATATATTCATTTTATAAAAATTTTATGCCAAATTTCCCTTAAATTAATACTTTTCTAGGATGCATTTTAATTGATTTGCAAGAGTTTGACTAATTAGTTAAGACTTTGATATACTGAAAAACTGCTCCACTTGTATTCTATTCACAGATCCCCAGAAAGTCCTCTGCTCATGACCTAGCAAGTTGCAGACCTCAACAATTTTATTCTAAAGATGTAGATTCCCCTATAAAGAAAAAAAATGTTTCCTGCCATTCCAGTTCTACAAGGATCAAGCCATTAGCTACTACAGTCGGCCACTGAGGAGAATTCAGGATGGAGAAAAAATAAGAAGTATTCTGGGCTTTGGATATACTGGCCCCTAGGTAGTTAAGATGCACATGTAATGAAAATTTTTAATGATGCCAGATTCTTGCATCTTCCCTTACATAGAAAAGCACTAAAATCATTAACTTGAGATGTCTGTTTTTTGTGATTAGCAGACAACATATTTTTCTCAGCAAAAAAAATTCATATATATCCTGGTTCCTCCCTTACCTCTTCGGAGCAGCTGCTTAGTAAGGACCCCAAATAAAACATAACTCACAACTTTTGTGTTGTGCATTTTTATCTTGGTCAACACCTACATTCCACAATGAATCTGATTCTGTAGGTCTGGGGAGGGGGTCTGGGAACCTATATTGTTTAAACTTCTGAGTTGAATGCTATTGTGAAATTATTGTTCATTTTTTATGGTATAAATGCTTATGATTTTGAAAAGAACCTTTACCTAAAGTATTGAAGGATAAAAGGGCATGATATCTGGGATTTGCCTTAAAATAATCCCAGTGTGGGGAGGGAGTAATGATGGAGAAGAAACAAGTGTCTGTAACTGTTGAAACTGAGTGATGAGTATGGAGGGTATGTTCTAATATTCCCTCTACTTTTCCATAAGTTTGAAATTTCCCAGAATTAAAGGTTTAAGGGAAAATAACCCTCTGGTGATTCTAATGCAGCAGCCTATGGAACCGTATTCAAGGTTCATGGAATAACCCTCTGCAACCAGTTTCCTTACAGCATGATCTTAAAAGAAACTTGTTGATCAAGAACCCTTCATACCACCCTTAAGTGTTCTGGGTGTTCTGGTTTGTGTGGCAAAGTAGAAATTCCCTTATCTGCAAAGAACGGGTATCTCCCTGGAATTCAAATTTCTGACTACAGAGCCTTGACTGCCCTCCCTCCTCCCTCTGATAAGTGACAAGATAGTGGATGGACATGCCTATCTCACATGTGATCAGTAACCCGGAGAAGAAATCTGGAGCCAGAATGTGGACAGGTTGTAATCCTGATTCTTGTGATTTCAAGGTGATGAAAGCTTCTAACTTTCCGGCCTCAAATTCCTTCAGTCTTCTATAGGAGGAAAATTTAGGACTATGAAGAAAAGCAAGTGTGTGATTGTTAAAAAAAGGATAGTGGTGGGACTTCCCTGGTGGTCCAGTAGAAAAACAGAAAAAAGGACAGTGGCTACCTCCAAGCAGGAGGAGGGAGACATGTGATGCGTTTCTTGGGTTTGATAAAGTTCTTTTCCTTTTTCTTTTTCTTTTTTGGCTGCACTGCGCAGCATGAGGGATATTAGTTCCCCAACCAGGGATCAAACCCGTGTCCCCTGCAGTGGAAGCGCGGAGTCTTAACCACTGGACTGCCAGGGAAGTCCCTATTATTATTATTATTTTTTAGTTGAAGTATAATTGGTTTACAGTGTTTAGGATGTACAGCAAAGTGATTCAGTTAAACATATAATGTTCCTTTTCTTGACCTGCTAAGTAACAGCATAGGATTTCACTATACAGTAGTTTATTTAACTCTAAAATTAGTTCTGTGCACTTGTGTGTATGTAATATGTTACACAATTTTTTTAAAAAAATTTAAGCTTCAGAATTTAAGGACTAGAAATGAAAACAAAATCTGATTACCTGAAATTCAAAGTTAAGGACTGAGTTAGCCTTGGAAAAACTCCCAGAAGTGAAAATGGACAGAGGTGTGAGGGTTTAAAACATTTTTGTAAAGTGAATTCCATAGAATGCTAGTTCTGGAGGATGTCATGTAAATGAATAAGTTGGGAAATGCTGGGTTATATAGTCAATCCACCAGGAAATATTAAGAGCTTTAAAGATCAGATGGTATTCCAAATACCGTGAACTCGATGGACCAGTGATTTGGCTAAAGTTAAACAGCTTTCATTATGGCAGGACTGCTCAGAGCCCTTAAGTTGCTACTGAGTTCTGAATGTCGAAAAGTTGGGATAGACTCTGCAGTGTTCCTCAGATTTCTAAATCCGAGGTGTCTCAGACCCAATTAACGCACCACCTCAGATTCGCTCAGCTGCACCTCTCTCCTAGCCCCTTGGCCCCTTGTTCATGGAGAGCCTGGATGCTACTTCAGCCGCGGTCATCGCCTCATCCGCTAGCACGGGTGGCTGTCTTGGCCTTCCCTGGAGTAAATCTGGGCTCCAGCAGAGCCTCCATGGCGACCACTGCGGCGGGGCAGCAGTAGCTCTAGCACCCCTGCCGTTAGCCCTGACAGGTTTTTGTTTTGGTTTTTTTTCTTTTTTGTAATGTGAGTGTCCGACTTGAGCTTTGACTGCCATCCATTTCAAAAGAGGCAACCACTTCAGGGCTACCTCTAATAAACACCTCGCCAGCCACAGCACTAGATAGAGAGCCAGGCCGTATCTCCCCACTGAGGCTCCTTTGTTTCGGAGATCTTAGTTCATTTTGCTAACTGACCATTTGAGCCATTCGCTTTTTTTCCACTTCCCACGCTTTAAATTCCCTCTCTTATGTTCTAAATTCACCAATAAAGAGTGAGCTTTTGAAACCCTAGGCCCCCACCCTAGACCCCAATAAAAGCGGAGCCCAGGCTCTTGCTCTCTCCCTCCCTCTCTCCACCTGTGAACTCACTGCGTGGCCCCAGGGATGCTATGTAATTTGCAGATCTTGTAAGTAATAAACCTTTATTTTTTCAGAATTTCCTGATGGTTAGTACTTAAGGGCATCTTGAAATCATAATAAGAACTACAAGGGCCAGTCTAACCGCAACATTGGTTGCTGATAGGCTGAGACTGACACAAAACACACACCCAACCCCACTGGCCCCCCGAGGCTCTGCTCCACCCACCACCTGCAGGGTCAGCTGACAGGTGCCTTCTAGCTTCCCCGGCAGCTGCCCAAAGGGCCAAGTGATGCAGTGGAAGAGCAAGGGCATTAACTCTCCGGGAGGCAAACTCCAGTCCTGGGAGATGGGAGGTGGAAGAAGCCAGCAGACAGGTCTCTCCCTTCTTCCCTCTGATGAACTGTTTGAGGCGGGTTGTTCTTTGTAACCTGCTAGAAGCATCTCACTTGGCTGAGCAAGCAGCCAGGGGTCTCCTGGTGGAGCTGTGGCCAGCTGGGTAACGCGATACTTTGTATTTGCTTCCCTCCTTTCCTGACTTGCTTCCACTTCCCTTCACTCTGGCTGCCCTAGGAACGTAGCTGAACTCAAGTGTTTACTCTTTGCCTCAGGCTCTGTTTTCTTGAGAGCCAGGAAATAAGGCATTGAACCCTTTTCTGGAGGGTCCTCTCAGGGCCAGTTTTCCACACAGTTCTCATTGGAAAATGCGGGTTTAAAGGACAACTTCTTCGGTGGGATAGAAACCTTGGCTTACCGTCACTGCCTTCTTCCTGCTGCACTCTTCCTATCAGGCCTTCTGTCCGTCTACCCTGAACTGTCCTCTGAAAAAAAGGCTGAATGAAACCCCAGCTCTTTTGGTAATAAAGGGAAGAAAGCGCTGTGCATTTATTAAAACAACATGTAACACGAACTCAGTCGCTGTCCCTTATGTCAGGAATAGACACTGAAATACAGTACCTTATCCTTTCCTAGGTCTGTGAGTGCTACGGAGCCCCTCCCACCAAGGAGAGGAAGTGGGTGGCTGTATCAACCTGGCTTCTTTCGCTTCTTTACAACAATCGTCCATCACACGATGACCAGGCATTATCATACAAAAGTTCCTTTACAAAAAGCACCAAATTGGCATACGTATACAAGTATATACAAAAATCACATTTTAAAAATGTACAAAATATTCCATTTTGCACCAACGTAGAAAAGTATCCAGTGTGGTTGTTTCAAGCACGTTTCCAACTCTGGTTCATGACGCTGGACACAGCGGTGAGGTCCTGCTCCTGGTTCCTGCTCTCTGAGCAGAGAGAAGACACACCTCCCCATTGCCCCTCCGGGGGCCCTGACCCCTCCCACCCTGGGCCTGTCACCAAGGTAGCTGGGCCCATCCCCACCCTCCCCAGTCTCTCTGCATCTAGACGGTCTCTCCCTCATCCATCTCCTTACTGGTGTCCTGAAAAAAAAGACGAAGAAACACAAGGTGAGATAGGGCCTCAGGAGGATCCAGGGCTTACCAGGATGCAGTGACAAAATTATCAGACTCCAATTCCTGCCTGGCCTCTTCCGTTTAAAATTGCAATAGAATTTAGCTGCCTAAATGCTATGGATTTCAGATCCAATGCAAAAGACTCTAGAAGGCTACTTTGTGTTTTTTAGCTGGATTGGAATTTAGTTCCAATAATAACTTGAATTGAAAAATAATAACATTAGCAAACATGACGTTTCTATGTGCCAGACACTGTGTTAAATGATTACCTAATTTAGTCCTGATTACAGTCTAATCTTTTGAGGTCAGTACTGGTATGCCCCCTTGCATAGATGAGTACGTCAAGATTCAGAAAAGCCGTGAACTGCCCAAGAACACACCGCTAGTCCGTGGTAAAGCTGTGATTCAGAACCCAGGCCCTTAACTGTACTCTGTCAGGTTGGGAAACTCAGATACCTATGGGGCCAGGTGACATGAATGGGTCAAGCAGGCAGGCTGACAGTGGTGGGGCTGGATGTCCCATCCAAAGGAGGCAACTGCTTCCCAGAGCCAGCTCTCTGAGACTAGGGAGAAGGGCAAGCCCAGCGTTGTTAGTTCTTTCCAAATTTTGACAGGGTGAAAATCCAAAGTCTTAGTTGAACTCTTCTTTTAAAAGAAAACAAAAACAAAACATCCTTTAAAAAAATCTACTAATTTAAAAAATGTTGACAACTAATTTCTAAAATTTTGAACATTGGGCCAAGCCTGCCTTGTGGGTGCTCTCTTTTGCCTCTGTTACGCTGTGTCACTTTTTGTTTAGGAAGGTCATTTAGATGTAAAATGGGAGCTTTTTATTATGAATAGTCTGGGGGAGTTCTCTAAGAGTAAAGGGAACACGACTTTACCTTAACAGGTTTAAAAGCCCTACAGGGAACAAGAAACATCACCCCACCGTCAAGCACAGCACTTTGCACTCAGTAGGGATCTCATGTTGTCACTGAATGAATGAACGAATGAAAGGAGGGAGACGGATTTCTCACCTTCTTCCCTCCCCTCTGTGGACTCTTCCTCTTCCTGATTTTCTTCTTCAATAAACTCCTCCTCTTCCTCACCTGTGTGTGACAAAGAACAATTGCATTAGGTTGGGGCTGGTGTCTCAGAGGAGAGGCTCAAAGGAGATCCAGGCTGGAGACAGCACCCGTTCCATAACCAGTCGGGGTCAAGCGGCCACGCGGTGACATCACTGGCCGAGGAGGTGATGGGCTTGTGTCCTCCTTCCCCAACCTCCTCCTTTCTTCCCACACCCTTCCAAGCGAGGGAGGCTCAAGACCTCCTTTTTCCAGTCGCAGCAGCAGCAGCACCTGTCACTTGATCTGCCTGCGACTGGAGGGACCTTTGGGGAAGCACACTGTGTACCGCTGCACATTTCTCAGACAGATCAACTTTACCTGGGGAAAATGGGACAAAAACGCCTTGATTCTCAGGGATCAGAATCCTTATTCTGAAGGAATCTGCTCAGCCTTTGAAATCTGCTTGCCTAGCGCTCCTTCTTCAGTTTTCCGCATTCCTTAGCCTACAGAGGCGTGGAAGTGGGGCGTGAAGCCCTTCTGGGGCCATCTGCTCCTTAGGTGTCTGAAACTGAGCTTCAGACAGTGACTGTGCCACAAGCTTTGTGCTCAGTCTCCCATCCTGGGGTATCGCCTTCAAGCTCTACTCACAGGGAACGTGTCCCTTCCCCACCCCCTCTCTCAAGCCACTTCCTTAAGCCTTTGGGGGCCCTGAGGGGTCACTACAGACTCAGAGCATTTGTCAAGAGTATCTGGGGAGAGGCTTGAAAGAGTTAATTCCTCCAAACTGACGATTGGGATCTGTGCATAACCCAGGGAACGGTTTTGTGGTGGTTTAACCATTATGACAATTAACTACTCATAGCAGCATTTGCTGAGAACTTACTATGTGCCATGTGCTTCCTTGTGCTAAGGACTGTACACGCACTGCCTCATAAAATCCCCAGAAGGCCCTCGGTGGAATCTGCGCGGGGTTACTTACTGGTATGTGGCCTCTGCAAGTCTCTCACCTTTCCTTGGTTTTATTGCCTCAGTTACAAAATGGAGATGACAAGAGAACTACCTCTTAAAGTTGTTGTATTAAACAACAAAATTCACGTCCAGGGCTCAGTGCCCCAGATATAGAAAGTGCTCGATAAATGGTAGCTGTGGGTACTCTCCCCATTTATCCATGAGGGCACGGAGGCTCAGGGAGATTACTGAAGGCAGTGCAGATAGTCACAATGTCGGACTGTTCACATAGTATGATCCACTCTTGAATATCTTCGCTTAGGGAGGGTGACAGTGGAGCAGATGCTCTACAGCAGTGGATACACCCGAGTCCGTTGACATCTCAGCTTTGGGATGCATTTTGTCCTTACCCAAGAATAGAGTATATTTGGGCTTCTGGGAACAGATTTAACACATCAGAGTCTGAAAGCTTGCAGGAGAGCAGATGCAGGAGGTGCCAAGAAGCTTTTCTCTTTCTCTTGCCAGCCCACTCACAGTTCTTCCCTGTTCCTGAACAACCTCTACCCCTCTTTCTTTCTCTCAGCAGATCACTGGAGCATCACCTCTCAGACAAATGCAACATTCAGCACAATTGTATCCGCCCTCTCTTTCTTCATCGCTAACTAGCTATCTTTCAACTGTGTAACCTTGAGCAAACTATCAAAATCTTTGTTCTCCATCTGGTTGCCTCATTTTCTCTTATAATTTTTCCTTTATTATTGTTATGGTTATATTGTTACAATTATTATATGTACGTTATGGAAGAGTAATCACAAACAGAAGCAAGGACAGAATATAGATGAATTAAGGTGCCTGAGCGTCCGCGATTATAGCAAGAAGCTGAAGCCAAGACTAGCTTTAGGCAATAACTAGTATATGTCCAGCATCTTACAAAGGCTTCTGAAGCAATATCTTATTTATTGCAACAGCATCATTCGGTGGTCATTGTCAGTAGGCCCATTTGTTACCTAAGTTTTTTTTTTTTTTAACATCTTTATTGGGGTATAATTGCTTTACAATGGTGTGTTAGTGTCTGCTTTATAACAAAGTGAATTAGTCATACATAAACATATGTTCCCATATGTCTTCCCTCTTGCGTCTCCCTCCCTCCCACCCTCCCTATCCCTGTTACCTAAGTTTAAAGTTAGGAAATGAAGCTCCTAACTTCAGAGGTGGAGGGAGACTCCAAAAGGCCACACGGATGAGAAGTGGTAGAATCGGATTTGACCTTAGGTCTGCCCGACTCCAGTTGCCAAGCTCTTTCTATTGCCCCAGGTTCCTCCCTAACGCAGAGCCATACATAATTAATTGAGCAACTATTATGTACCAGGCACTGTGGTGGGCTCTGGGCTCATCCAGAAGTTGGCTGTATGAATTTAACTGATATCTGGGCGTCTTTGCTAGTGTATCTGCCTCTATGTGGGGCTCAGTGGGAGGGAAGCTGATGTTGGGGGAAAATAGTCCCTTACCTGTCTCAAAGTCGATGGCCCTCAGGGTGTCTGCTATGTGCTCTAAGTCCAAAGTAAAGTAGTCCATGTTTTCAAAGCCCTGCTCTATCTTCCCCAGTTGGCAACCCTTGGACGCTTCCACAATGCTGTAGGGGAGAGAGAAAAAGGGGTGGGGTGGGAGCACAGTGAGATCTCTGGCCTCAGAGAAGGAAGGAGTTGTTTTAGCCCTAACTTATACCAGTGTGCCTGCTTGTGCCCACACGACTCCCCCTGGAGGATGGAGTATTTCCTCTCCAGTCACAAGCAGAACGGATGGTCCAAGAAAGCAGGGGTGCAAAGGCCAGGAAAGCTATCCTGGGGTGAGACCCTCCCAGCAGACCTAATGCAAAGGACGAGGCCCTCTGGACAGAAGTCAGAGGCCCTGAAGGGAGCTGGGGCCTTGGATCATAGTCCCGGAGAGACACTGACCTTCTGATGAGTTGCTTGGCACTCTGTGGGGGAAAAGAAAGAGCAAAGGGTTAGGACTGCGGAAAGGGTAGCCCCAGGAAATCAGCAAAACCAGTGACTGGGCTCTGCAGATGGGCACTTGGTGCCGTTCCCTAGCCCAGCTGTGACCCGCTCCTGAGTTTCAGCAGAACACAACTTGGATTTTCCCTCTGTCCATCGTCTGCACACATCTTGCTCATCATCCTAGAACCCTCCCGTTGTCCTGGCAGGAAGCTTGGATTCTAGGAGTATCAGTCTAAACCCTCTTAAACTCGGAAATCTTCAAGATGAGAATGATACCTAATCACCTTTTTATACCCAATGGATAGCACAAAGCCTGGCCCACAGTACGTGCTTAGGAAATTTTTATTGAACTTTACTCTTCCTTCACAAAATCTTATAGCTGATCTTTTTATGTCTCCCCCAAGAAGCTCTTCTAGGGTAGGGCTGTGTCTCGTTCATCTGTGTCTCCACCTCAGTGGCTGACCTCTGGCAGGTGCTCAATTAATCGTCTCTACGTGGACACTGTATTTTGCCGCTTGCAAAGCCATTTCACAAACATCCTTTTATATAATCCTCATAAAATCAGTTAAGAGGAAAGAAGGTAGGAACTGTTACATGCTCATTTACAGATGAGAGACTGAGGCTTGGAGAGCATTAAATGACTTGCCCAAGGGCACATTCTTTGGTGATCAGGGATGAAGCACGACTTGACCCTCAGACAGGGCAGTGGAGCTGAAGTGCCCACACCCTCCCGGTCCTGCTCACCGAGAGGAAGATGGCCCCGCCAGGCTCGTCCAGGGACTGGATGGCTGTCTCCACCAGCTTGCTGGACTTCTCCAGTTGCTGCCGGTATTGCTGGATGAGGGCCTCGTGGAAGCTGAGCTTCTCCTCCTGCTCTCGCGTGACCCGCTGCAGCAGCTCACTCTTCTTCTCGTCCAGGATGGCGTACAGCACGTCGAACTTCCGGCTCAGCTCTTCCTTCACCTGGTGACTGTTCTCCTGGGGACAGAAATCTTGGAGTCACATCCTGCAGGCCCTCCATCCTATCCCCAATGCTTCTTTCTTGGGATGGGTGTGCTGGGAATAAAAAGTCTGAAGCTGGGGGAGATTGACTGCACCCCCATTTCACAGAACACGAAATGAAGCCTTAGCAAGAAGAAAGCTTTTGCTAAGGTTCTCCAGCCACTTAGCACACCAGTAACATTTGGATGCTGGCGTCATGGAGAAAGCTACACCTTCCGTCAAAAGTAGAGACTCTGGGCTTCCCTAGTGGCGCAGTGGTTGAGAGTCCGCCTGCCGATGCAGGGGACGCGAGTTCGTGCCCCGGTCCGGGAAGATCCCACATGCCGCGGAGCGGCTGGGCCTGTGAGCCATGGCCGCTGAGCCTGCGCGTCCGGAGCCTGTGCTCCACAACGGGAGAGGCCACAACAGTGAGAGGCCCGCGTACCGCAAAAAAAAAAAAAAAAAGTAGAGACTCTAAGGTCAGATGGGATGATGTATGTGGGCCTCCCCTAGTTACAGTCTTCCTCCCATTTTAGGACCAAGACCAGATTTGGGAAGCTCTGCATCATTTGGTCATCTGAGAGGTGGAGAAGCTGCTCCTCCCCTAGTGGCCTCCACATTGAGGCTTCCTTCTGTCCAACACTGATGCTAATCTTCGTTTCCTTACCTATAAAGTAGGTATAATAATAGCATCTCATCAGACTGGGGGCTCTAGTATCCTCTGTCAGACCGGGAGCCCCACCCCGTTATCATGTTGTTATGTTATGTTGTTACGGGTAATAACAACATCCCTCTTCCTTCCTTTAAACCTATCCTTCACACAACTCTTTTGTCCACCAGAAATGTAATGATCCCTTTCCCCCATCTCATTTCCAGGTCGCCACAAGGGGAGATGGAAAATCATGGGTGCTTTTGCAGGGATAGAAAAGTTGCCTTCTGCCTCTACAGCCTTGCTACTCAAAGTGTAGTCCATGGACTAGCAACTTGGGCAAATCCTGGGAGCTTGTTAGAAAAGCAGAAGCTCATGCCTCATTCTAGACCTACTGAATCAGAACTTGAATTTTAACAAGATCCCAGGGTGGTTTGCATATGCACATTCAAGTTTGAGAAGCTTCAGTCTACAGCACACTGGAGAACTATGTTCTAAAAGCTACTAGTGCTGAATAAATGCTGGGAATTATTGGTGGGACACTGCCTGAAGTCAGGGACCTGGTCTGTCTTGCTCACCGCCACATCCTCAGCACCTCTGGCTGAGCCTGACACACAGCTGTCCTCAGGAAGCGTTTGTTGAATGGGTGGATGAATTGATTAGTCAGTCCCTCCCCCACCATCCCTGCTTGAACACCCCAGAGACGAAGCTGCACTGGGAGGCTTCGAACCCCTCACCTTGGTCTTCCCCTCACCTTGGTCACTCGACAGGAGTCCTCCAGCTGAGTGATGATGGTCTGAACACGGTCATTCCCTGCTACCAGCATGGAGATACAGTTATTCAGCTCAGTCTAGACGGGAGGAAGGGGTGGGGGATCAGGAGAAGAGAGACAAAAATAGTCTCAGGGCCTGCCCTCTGGGGCGTGGCAGCAAAACGGCACCCTCCCTCCCCTCTCTGCTAGAAAGAGCCTCTTTCTGAGGTACAGCTCAGCTCCAGAGCAGAAAATATCAGAGAGATACTGCATCCCTCATTTTACAGATGAGGCCCAGAGAGGGGAAATGAGCTGCCCAAACTACACAGCAATGTGCTGGCAAAGGAGGGGCTTGTTTCTAGGAATGGAGGGATCCATAAAAGAAAGAGGTTGGAGAGTTCTAGAAGAGAGAGATCAAGAGAAGAGTAGGAGGGGGGGAGGAAAGAGTATAGAAAGGGCAGCCATTGCTTACTGCATGTACAGCATGGCGGGGCTCCCACAGGCCCAGAGGCCCGGGGAGAGGACTCTCAGCTGCCTCCTGCTGCAGAGGGATCCAGGGAGAGGTGACCAGCACAGGAAGGGGTATCTGGGACCCAAACCACACTGGGTGGTAGAAGTCGTGGCCAGAGAGGGCCCTGGTGGCCTGGCCCTGGGACCTGCCCTCTCTCTTGGGGCCACACCCAGATGCTCTCAAGTGGCTCTAAGTATAACTCATGAGTTCAGCCACCTCCCCAGGGAAGGCAAGGGCTGCTGGCCCTGCGGGCAGGAAGTCCCTCCAGGGTGACTATTCCCGAAAGGCCAGCTCAGCAGATCTATAGGGATCAAATCCACATCCTGAATCATATGTTCAGCAGGCTCGGGCTGGGGGTGGAAGTAGCTCAGGTCAGCACCTTTTGTCCCTGGAAGACACTCTGCAGTGGGGCCACCTCGCAGGCCTTGTGGACCCCAAACACCTTGCACATGGAGCACGTGGGCACCTCACACGTGAGGCAGTAGATGTTGATTTTCTCATCTTCGTGCTCCTTGCACATGGGGTGGTTGCCTTTCTGCAGGGGCCGACTGAAGTGGAGAAGAGTCATAAGTCACGAGGTGGGAGTCTCGAGTCCCTGTCTCCTCCCCCAGCCCCAGGAGGCCACCCCAGCCCATGACCCAAGCTCTCAGTGGTGGGCTGTCCCAAACCCTTTTCTTTCCATCCTCTGAGGACCCAGGAGCAGGGAAGCCAATGACACCAAGACTAGGATTCAAAGTCCAGTGATGGAATTGGCCCTAGGCCTTGCCAGTACAGGACATGGGAAGGATTGCAGAATCCCAGAGTCATTTTGAGACATTTTCAAGAAGAGGAAACTGGGCCCCAGAAAGGTGAATTGACTTGCCCAAGGTCACCCAGCAAGTCAGGGCATGGGAGGCTAGAGTTCATTTGCTCTAATTATAGTCCCCATGCTCTTGGGTACAGCAGGCTGGGCTCTGAGCAAAGCAATTTATATTCATGGCCTCATTGAATTCTATATTTAATCCACCAGACTGTAGTCTCCATCAAAGCCGGGAAACTTGCCTAGTCCCTTCACCCCCTGAATCTGCAGTGTACAGTGCCTGGCATGGAGAAGGTGGTAATTAAATACAGGTAGAAAGAATAAATCCTTAAGCATGCCATGAAGGCGCCCCGAGGCTCTGAGACAGAGGCATTATGTGTGCCCCAAGTCACACAACTAGAACATGGGCAACGCAGGGCCATCCAATGGCCCAGCACAAGCCTTGATTTCCAGTCCGAGATTCTTTCCAGGATCCAGAATCGCTTCTTTCTGTTTCCCCCCAAACACACACTCTTAGGATGACTTTCTCCCTTTGTCTCTCTCTCTCCTTTTAGGGCCTCTGGCATGTTTTCTGTGTTTCTCTCAGGGTCACTTCCTCCCCGACATTCCATTTTTTGGGTCTAGGTCTTACTGCCCCAGCTAACTATACACTCATTTAGAGCCAAGAGCACATCTACACACCTCTGCTTTCCCAGCCCCTAACACAGCAGGCAGCTCAGAATGACTGTCCCCCATCATGTCGGTGCCTCCCCTCCAAAGAACCTTGCATGGCCGATCACACCCTGGGCATTTTTGTCCCCTCAGGGTCTTAAATAGGCCCCTTTCCAGACTTACCTTTTTGCATCTTTTAGCCCAGGGTCCCCCCATGCTGGCAGGACTCTCACTTTGCCACCTGTCTCTATCCCCTGGGAAGGGAGCTCTGGGGTGGCAGTAGGTGCAGAGGTGAGGCAAGATCCTGAGGGTCTGGTACTTGTGTCCTCTGTCATCCCAGTTGCCTATCCTCCCAGCCCCAGGCGCCAACATCGGGGTTCAAATCCAGATTGTTCTGCCACTTACTCATTGTGACCTTGGACAAATGATTTCACCTCTCTGAGCCTTGGTTTCATCCCAGAGCTACTGGGATCATGGCAGGAATTGTCTGTACTGAATGTGCAGTGCCTGGCACAGAGCAGACCCTCAATAACTATCATCATCATTCAACTCTGTGGAAAGGCCTTGACAACATGCTCTTCCTAGGTCGACACTGGGTGGGCTACTATTCTGGTGCAATATTGATTTTATTATTATTATTATCATGATCAACGATATCATTGCATTTTTGTAGTGTTGAACTCTAGCTACATAAGAGGCAGTAGCAGTTAAGAATGTTCGCTGGGCAGTCAGTCAGACAGGCTCCCTCTCAGCTTCACCACTTGCTAGCTGAGTGGCCTAGGACAAACCTTTCAGAGCCTCCATTTCCTCATCAGAAAATGAGGGTAAGAATGGTTTACAGGATTACTGTGAGAATTAAACAGGGATAATGCACGGAAAATACTTAGTGCAGTGCCTGCACACAGTAGCTGCTCAATAAATATTTGATATCTTTAACATTTCCCATCAAAATCCTACATGACAGTCACAATAACAAATCTTACTGTCCCTTTCTGGACACAGGGGAAACAGAGGCCCAAAGACTTACCCAGTATTCTACACTGCATGAGTAACAGAGTCAGAGTAGCAAACACAGTTCTCAGGTCAGAGCTTTCTCAGGCGAGGACTGGTCTGTCACCTTTTTGGGGGGCCAGACACTGCCTGTAGGCAGGCACTTGGTGAAGGTTTGGGACCACAAGGGCCATGAGGTCAGCAGCCTGGAAGTCTTGTCAGGATGTCCTGATTTGTAGAGATCTCCCTGGTAGCTGTGTCTCTCCCCAGTTTGAGGCCCAACACTGTACAACTTCGACCACGCACAACTTCTGCCTGAGAATGAGTGGCTATTTCACAAATAGGGAGACTTGGAGCTAGATGGACTGGGCCCAGTCCCAGCAATTTACTTGTCAGCTGGGAAACCTTGGGTAATTGACTTCACCTCTTTGAGCCTCAGCTTCCTCATCCATGAAACAGGGATGATGAAAGCCATGCTGACCCATAGGATTGTCATGAAGCAGCAGCAGGAAGCATTCCCAGTGTCTCGCGCTGGTGTTATCACTATAGAGAAACTGGCTGTGTTCTCACTGGGTGACTTCTCTGCTTATCAGGGCCACTTAGCTGGCTCCAGTGCCTCTCTCTCCCTCTTACATCTCATCTTTCCCCTGGTTTCTGTCTCAGTATCTTCCAGGAGGACAGCCTAACGTCTGGATCCCCTCCCATTCACTGGGTGACACAAAAAGCCAGGGCTGCGGGATAAGGTGAGCCTCCGTTCCTGCCTGGGGAAGAGGGAGCTGGCTCTCTGGATTGGCTAGCATAGCTCTTCCAGCTAGGGGACTGGATCCTGAGCAGATGAAGGAGGATGGGGCCTTGGAGAGCTGGGCTCAGAGGATGAGCTGGGGAGAGGGGATGGCCTCCCAGCTGCAGGGTGAACTGACCTGCAGCACTCCTGCTTGTAGATATCAATGATGTTCTCCACCAGCAGATTCCTCTGCAGGCCGTACACTCCATGACGGTCCATGATCACTTCATGGCGGCAGGAGGGGCATCGGAAACGGCTTCCAGACATGGACACTGAGCCACCCCGGTTGGCCCAGTAGGGATTTGCAGCCTGCTGGTGACAAGGGCAGAGGTGAGGCCTGGGCTCCCTCCTCAACTCCTTCCCTTTCTGACCTCCGACTATCCTTCCCCCTGCTCACCCCAAGATGACTTAAAGCCCCCATCCTGAAATGAGAGAACCAGCCTCCTTACACAGGGAGCACCTGAGAAGTAACCAAGCAATCAACAGGTTTGGAGGTCAGCAGACCTAGGCTCAGGTCACAGTAATTCTCTGAATGACTTCAGGCGAGCAACTTTTTCTCTCCAAGCCTCAGTTTGCCCATTTATGAAATGGGCATATAATTAGAGCCAGCTCCTAGGGCTGCTACTTTAAAGAAAAAACAGTGAGAGATCATTCTGTAAAGTGCTTCTGGGGAACTTCGAGGCCTGCCTCCCAACCAGGATGCACATCGCTCCCATTCTTTTCTTAGAGAGATGAAGTCCCTCCTGCACCACATTATAGAGGGAACAGCGTCAAAGGGGAAGATGCCTCTATGGCTCAGTACCTCTCAGCCACCCTCCTCCTAAAACTCTGGGCACCCTGCCACTTTGGAGCTGGCTCCAGCCCCCAGGGTCTGGTTTCTCTCCCCTCTCCGCCTGTCTCTCCCACTTATCACTTGAGGCTTTTGGAATCCTGATTGGAGAATCAAATGCGGTGCTCAGGACAGGGGTGGAGTAGCTACAGGCAGGGTGGGGAGGGGAAATGTACGTCATGGAGAAGGAATGGGGCAGCCAGAGCTGCTTCCCTACCCGCCTCGGCCCCTTCCAGAGGCCTCTGCAGGGGTTCACTTCAGAGGGGGGTAAAACAGCCCCAGTTTGGAAGGGTTCTGGGCTAAGAGAGAAGTTTTCTTTTAGTTTTCACTGCAGGAAAACTGAGTAGCTGCCTGAGGCCCCAGTTCTAGGCCATGCCCAGCACTGACCTGGAAGATGTCACAGGCACACTTCCGGCAGAGGTTGTGTTGACATGGCAAGATGACCACTGGCTTGGTAAACATCTCCAGGCAGATGGGGCAGATCAGCTGCTTCTCCAGGTTCTCCATGGGGTTCCCATCCTGGATCAGGCTTGACTTATAATCCATACTGTCAGGAGACGTGGGGACCCACCTGGCTCTCTCCTTCACCTGCCTCGCTCTAAGCAGATCTGGGGTCTTGCCTTTGTCACAGAATACCCGCCTGGAGCCTCTTTGCCTTCTTCTCCTGGAGCCCAAATTCTCCCTTGGTCTGTGGCCCCTCTGATATTTATAGCTGGACCCTGGTCACATGAGCCCCAGGAAGGGACCAGCTGAGAATTCCAACGCCAAGCGGCTGGCGAGGCTTGAGTTTCCTCCAGGCCCGAAAGACCAGCCTCTCAAATCACATGTAAGGATGAGCAATCGCTGTTCCCTTGGGACGGGGGTCGTAAACAAGAACAGCTTGTTCGTGGACAGGCTTGGGGCAGGACTGGGTACCCAGAGTTTCCTCCAAAAATTAGTCTCCTCCCACGGTAGGCTGGTATGGAGGGAGTGGGCCACTGGGATTTGTGGGGTTAATAGCCGGTGCCCTCTCACTGACCTAAATCAGGTCTGTCCCCAGATGAGGCCCATCCCCAGCACAGCATGTTGCTAAAGACCTTGGTCCCGCCCCATCCCCGCCCCCCACCCCACCCCCACCCCACACACTCAGGCTAGCCCATCCCTCCATCCTCCCACCACTAATTCCACTTTTTTTTTTTTTGGCCATACCACATGCGGGATCTTAGTTCCCAAACCAGGGATTGAACCCGTACCCCCTGCAGTGGAAGCATGAAGTCTTAACCACTGGACCGCCAGGAAAGTCCCTAATTCCACTTTAATACTGAAAGGGCTCCCTTGAGACAGAGCCTAGTTCCCTCATTTTATAGATTTTGACACTGAGGTCTAAGAAAGAAAGGACCTTATTCAAAGTCATTTGGAAAGTAAGTGGCAAAGCCAGGAATCTTATTCATTCATCAGACATTTTCTGAGTACTAACTATACATCAGGTACCAAGTGATAGATAAATGAGTAATCCTTTTCCCTGCCCTGAGATACTCACAGCCTAGGGAGGGAGACAGACAGAAATAAATATCACGTAGTGCCACGAAGCCCTACCTAACCACTTAGACATTATCCAGATGTTCCTGTCTGCTCTCTGCACAAATTTAAATTTTTCTCCACGTCCTTCTTGACCGTCGTCCATGTCAGCAGGTAGAAGTCATTAGAGCAGTTCCAACGGCTGTCTTTAAGGTAGAATGTCATGCAAAGGGACATTGGTATAAGGTGCTGGGGCAAGAGTGGGAGCAGTAACATCAGGCCTCAGGATGAGCCTAACAGGCTGTAGAACCTACAGGAGGAGTGTCCATGATCTCACAAAAGAGGGGCAGCAGGAGAGTGGGTTTGATGGCCTCAGCCTGGAGAGGAGTTGATGGTTGGAGCCCTGAGACGAGAGCTAGTGAGTAGTGAAGGCGTAAGAGCCAAACTTAGGAAGGGGAACGGGGAGGAGAAGAAGAAGGGCAATCAGTCACAGAAAGAGGAGGGGGCCTAGAGGACAAGGAGTGGGCAATTTCAAGGAGAGGGTAGTCCTCCCAAAATGTCAATGGCTGGTCTTAGCTGAGCACCTACTATATGCTGGGCACTGGGCTAAGCAATTCATACACATCATTTCATTTCATCTTCTCAATAGCCAGCAACGTAAGTAAAATAACTTGTATGAAGTCACACAGGTTGTAAGAAGGGGCCCTAGGACAAAACCCAGATATGCTTGACTCAGGAGTCCAAGCTCTTCAAGTCTCTACTGAACTGTAGGTCAACACTGCCAGGCCAGCCAGGGGCTGGAGGAGGATGAGAGTTGAAAAGAGGCCATCTTTTCTTCCTTACTCAGTTTTGTTCAGGTGTAAGGTAGCACCGTTCTCCAGGAAGGAGGGCCTTTTCACTGCCACAGGAGACGAAGACTTCAGCCTATCGTGGAATCCCATTCTCTTTTGCCTAAGTGGCATAGTTATGGTCAAGGAGATCCAAGGGCTAGTGTAGGTGGGCTAAAGATAAAGGATTTCCTCCCTGATAAAAAGTAAAGTGCAAGGAGAAAGCTTCATTCTTGCCTTTGAATGAGGTTATGAGAGGGTGAGGCAGTGATCTTGCAATCAAGAAGGGACAAGTCTGAAAAGGAAATCAACTCCCTAGAATGGCAAAGATGAACTACAGAAAGCACTGGGGTCGTTGATGCCGTCATTGTGCTGCCAGTCTACCCACCCCCAGAAGTGCCCTCCAAAATGTGAGATAAAAAATGTCAGGACAGTGTAATTAAATCTGTTACTTGCAGCAGAGAGCACTCTATATCCATTCATGATTCCAACTCTTCTATGCCAATGATTCTCAAATCTCTAATTCCAGTTCAGACCCCTCTCTCCCTTAAGCTGAAGACTTGTTGGAGATCTCCACTGGGATGTCCCCATAGCACCTCAAACTCATCATACCCCAAACGGAACACACCATCTCCTCCCCGCCTCCCCCCCAACCAAGCTCCTGCTTCCATTTTCCTTGTCTCATGTCTCGGTGGACAGCGCTCCCATCCAGCCATTTGCACAGACCAGAAAGCTGAGAGCCATCCTGGGGCTCCTCCTTCCTCCTTCCTGCACATCCAGTCAATCTCTGCATCAAACTTGGGTCCACCTTTACATCTCACTTGCCATCTTGCCAGCTGTGAGTCTGGCTCTCCCTCTGGACTTAGAAGACTGAGGGCAAAGACTGTCTCTATTTGTCTCTGTACCTCCAGCACCTGGCACGTAGTAGGCACAAAGAAATGTTTCTTAAATGGGTGGATGAGTGAATGAGCAAATTAAACATAGAAGCAGCAGGGTTACTGTCAGACTTGGGGGAGATTGAGGTCGTTGAGCGAGTTTTTTTCTTGGCTGAGATGGTACAGACAGTGCAGCTGGGTGTTGGGGTTGATGGCATAAATCCTAAAGCCTTGGGAAGGAGAGGGACACTCCAACCTTTGAGTTGGGAGGATGAGAGAGAGGAAAGGATGGAGGTTAGAATTAGCGGTGTTGGGAGATGGAGAGAAATGTGCTCATGTTGATAACCTCCGTCAGTCAAGAGAGAGTTGAGGTCACCTTCTGAGGCTGAGGCAGGGAGAAGAGGAGCCTGAGTGTGTGAAGCATAGGAGGAAGTGCCCTAGAGAGGGGTGGAAGAACTGTCTGTGGGCAGAAGAGCCTCACTGATGTCTGTCAACACGGATTTGCCATTTCAGAGGAGCCATTCACGTGGCTCTGTTGACTTTCTCTAGCCACACTTGGCAGTTCAGGTGCAAAATCCACGCAAATAGACAGTGGGATCGACTCCAGCCTGGGAGCTGGCAAGGCCAGCACTGTTGAAAGTCAAGGGGTGAGAAAAGGAAATTCTCACATAGGCCATGCTGGGCAGCAAAACATGTCTTGTCATTTAATCTTCACAACAGCCCTGCAAGAGAGATATTTTGATCTTTGTTTTTTCCGGGAAGAAATGAGATTCAGAGAGTTAATTGGCTTGGCCAGAGTCACACAGCCACAAGTAGGAGAGCTGAGCTGGGGTTCACATCCAAGGTAGCCTGACTCCTAAACCTGTGCTCCTCACACTGAAACATTTATTTAGTGCTTATTGCACGCCAGGCACTGTGCTAAGCCCTTTCCATCCATCCCGCTCTCTTTTTTTTTTTTTTTTTACTTTTTGGCCAGGCCGTTTGGCATGCAGGGATCTTAGTTCCCCGACCAGGGATCGAACCCGTGCCCCCTGCAGTGAAAGTGTCCAGTCTTAACCGCTGCACTGCCTGGGAAGTCCCTCCATCCTTCCCTCTTGTTCAGTCTTCAAAATAACTCAGTGAGGCAGGGATCATGATTTTCCCTGTTTTGCAGCTGAGTTATAGAGGCTCAGGGCAGTTAAGTCACTTGGTCAAAGTCCCCCAGCCAGTGAGTGGCAGAGCCAGCATCAGAAGCAGGAAGTTATAAAACGGTATCCTTACCAGTTCTTAGAACATGCTGTGAAGCTATGGACTGACAGACGAAGACAAATGTGGACTATCAGTGGCGCATCTGAGCCCAGAGCGCTTAACGACCACATTTTACTGCTTCGCTCTTTGCCAGTCCCCACGCATCTTCATTTTTACTGTTTATTAATGAGAATCCCAAACACAGAAAAGTAGAGAGAATGCTATAATGAACTCATGGGACCAAACCCAGATTCAATTCTTTTCAACATGTCCCCAGTCTCACTTCATCTATACCCCAACAAACTTCTATTTTCTAGAATATTTTAAAGCCAATCTTAGTCATCGAGTCATTTCATCCATAAGTACTTTGGTAAGCATTTCTAACTGATGAGGATTTTTTTTACATAATCACATGCCATTATCATAGCAAAAATAACAAAAACGTCTTAATATTATCTAAATCCCAGACCATTCTCAGAGGCTGCTGATTGTCTTGAATGTCTTTCTTTAAAATAAATTTTATTTATTTTTGGCTGCATTGGGTCTTCGCTGCTGCACGCGGGCTTTCTCTAGTTGCAGCGAGCGGAGGCTACTCTTCGTTGCAGTGTGTGGCCTTCTTATTGCGGTGTCTTGTTGCGGAGCACGGGCTCTAGGCTCACAGGCTTCAGCAGTTGTAGTATGCAGGCTCAGTAGTTGTGGCTCACAGTTTCTAGAGAGCAGGCTCAATAGTTGTGGCGCACGGGCTTAGTTGCTCCGCGGCATTTGGGATCTTCCCGGACGAGGGCTCAAACCTGTGTCCCCTGCACTGGCCGGCAGATTCTTAACCACTGGGCCACGAGGGAAGCCCTCAAGTGTCTTTTTAGTTAATTTGTCAAATCAGATCCAAATAAGGTCTTACACGTAGCATTTTGTTGTTTTTTTTCTCATTAATCTCTTTTAATCTATAACAATCCCCTTCCCTACCATTCTTTATGCCACTGATTTGTCCGAGAATGATCATGGCTATTATGATTCTCTTTTTGACATATCAGGAACTGAAGTTCAGAGAGGTTAAGTGATTTATGGAAAGTCACCCAGCTAAGAGACAGACTTCTCATTTGGGACTGCCCCCAAAGTCTGTTACTAGTAGGAGGAGATTTAGCGCCAGAGGAGGGTCCCAGCTGAGTAGC